GGCTCATTGACATTGGGAGCAAGATGTTGAAGAATTGTACTTCGTCATATTTGGGGGAACTAACTGCTATGCAGTGGGCATGTACAAGGACGAAGGCATATCGCGGAAATGTCCCTCTCACCATCCGCACAGATAGTCAGAGTATTGTGAGTAGGGCGGAATCAGGATCCGTTTATGATGCGGATATCAGAGCCTACAGGAAGTGGGCTTGGTTGATAGCTAATGAACCTGGACTAAAGTTCGAGTTTGTTCCTGGCCTTGTGAATACGGGAGCAGACCTACTCAATAGACCAGGACAGGGATTTCACAAGGTGAAGGTGCGTTGTCAGGAAGGAGAAGAAGAGGAGGAGGAAGAGGACGATGTCGACACAAGGAAGGTACTTTCGGTGCGGATTCAACAAGTGGTGATGAACAAAGAAGTTTGTGTTGGTTCAAGCGTTGAGGCTGGTGGATCGCGACCATCAACTTTGAAACGCATATATGGACAAAGGCAAGTTCGTGTGATTTCAGCTGTGAAATTGTCAAGTGGTAAATTTGGCTTCAAGACCAAGTTGTATCACCTTGGTGGTAAGCGGCCTTGGAGGATCTATTCTTCTGCATTCCCAAAGCTTCGTAAGCCTGGCTGGATGGAGCCTGTGGAGCATGAAGAGAGCTGGGAGGAACAAGGTGTGGCGGTCAGCTCTGTGCAAGCGAGTGTTTCAGCAGTACAGCAGGAGGGGGAGACCGGACAGGAAGGTAACTTGACTGGTTTTGTAAATGGAACAGATCTAATTGACAGAATCAAAGAGGAACATGAGGAGTTTCATTGGGGTCCTTACAAAGTCTATCATGAGCTCAAAAGGAGGGGGATCTTTGCCTCTATGAAGTTGGTTCGGAAAGTCTGTGATGGTTGTAAGGTGTGCGCAAGATTTCGGGCCAAAATGCCTAAGCGGAAATGGGGTCAGCCTCCTACTTCTGTAATTCCGGGTCATACTGTATTTGCTGATGTGGTTGGACCGGTTGTCACCGGGTTGGGCAATTACAAGTACATGCACTGTATGGTGGATAGTGCTATTCGGATGGGTGATGTTTTACCATTAAAGGTTGTGAGTAGTTCTGGGGTGATTCGGGCATTGGAAAAGTGGAATCGACTGCATGGGAAAATGTCTGTACTTGTCACAGACAATGCCTCTTATTATGCTTCTCGTGCAGTACGATTATGGTGTTCAGAAAACGGGGTTGAACATAGGTTCATAGCCCCATACAGGCACAAAAGTGTTGGACTGGTAGAGCGGTTTCAAAGAACGTTTGTTGACAGACTTCGAAAGTTGAAATACGCTCTGGGGGGTTCTTGGACGCGTCATGTACCTTTGGCTTTAGAGGCAATGAATTTTTCAAAACATAGTTCAACTGGGTGGTCACCGGTGGATCTTTGGGATGCTAATGAAGAAGACATCAAGCAGGCACAACAGAAGTCAATGACAAGGCGGGAGAAGCGCAATCTGAAGCGAAGAGTATGGCCGTCTTTGTTCTACGAGGGACAAACCGTACTTGTATATGATGAACTAGCAGCTCAGAAACGAGGAGATAAGTTTAGTCCGGTTTGGAAGGGTCCATACAAATTGTTACACCGAGTGCAAGGTTCGTACTGGAAAGCCAAAAAGATGGGGCAAGGAGATGCAGTTTTAGTGGAAGCTGGACGAAAACCGAGATTGGTGTTTCATGAGGATCAGCTGCAAGTCTTTGACAAAGAGTTCCAATGGTCAGGCCATGACTTCTCGTGATGCTGGAGGAGGATATTGGACAATGACGGAAGACAATTCGGAGTTTTGCGCAGGGTAAGCTGGTGTGCCCATGTTAAAGTTCCCGGAACAAAGATAATGCAAGACACAATGAAGTCCATAAGAATGGAGTGTGTCTCTGACCGTCTGACTGACCAGAGATGAAGCTGAAAACACGTTGGTTATGCACTCAACAAAATGCACCGAGACAACAAGCTGTTAAGGTGCCAATTCGTAGCGAGCTGCGGCCAGTTCATTAAACCGCTAAACGATTTAGATTACCCGGTTAATGCGGCGCAACATCCGGCGGGCAGTCAGCTGCCGCTTGCGCCTTGGATGCTTCCCGCGCGCGCGACTTGCTCAGGAGTGCGCGGCTGGTCGGCGCGAGTGCGCGGAAAGGAGCGACCGCCGGCGGCTGTGCTGGGCGACAGTGGCCGGACGTGGCGGACATCGAGGGACGGCTTTCGAAGCCGATGCGCAGCTGACCGGCGAGGCGGAGGTGTCGAGCCATGGAGCTCGTTCTGGCGGAATGGTGGAGGCGCTGAGCAGTGCGAGTGCGGCAAAGTTGGTCGGAAAGATGGCGCGGAGCAAGAGAACCCTTGCGCGCATCGAGGGGAAGCGCGATGCGTTGTTAAGGGCAGATGAGGGGGGCGCCTTACGAGAAAGGGCGGAGGCGGGCAGTCCGGAGGCCGGGGCCGATCGTCCCCGGCCGCTCAAGCGGCCTCAGCGATGGCCGTCAGGGAGCTCGTCGTTGAGCTCCGGACAGAGGCGGTGGAGGCGCCGAGGTCGGCTGCAGAGTGGGCCTCCATGGCCACCCGGAGGGCCCTAGGAAACCCCCCCGAAAGGGGGATGCACGTTCCCCCGGCCGGTCCGGAGGGATGGAGCAGCGCGCCGGGGCCGGAGGAAGCGGCGCCCGAGCTGCGCCGTATCGAGCGCGGGCGGGCGGAGCTCGCGAGCGGGCAAAGGCCGCGGGAGGAAGGCTCCGAGCAGTTCGGAGGAAGGAAAGTCATGCACGACGCCCGGATTGGCCGAGCATCGTGAAATGTAAACTGCAAGGAGTGTTTGTGATTGGTAGGAAAAGGGGGAAAACGGTTTGATAAGGGGAAGTGAAGGTAATAAGGAAAGGATATTGTAACCCCTATCAGATGCATGAGAAGTGACCTGTACGCATGCACAAAGGCTTTAGAGGAGGGGGTGCGTTGGTTCTTGGGGTGGTGATGTTTTTTAGTGAAACGGTTGGAGAAAGGTGATGTAACCGGGTACCAAAGTGGGTGAATGATAATGTGATGGAATCCAACGTTGGGAATTCACTCAGGACGCTGCGAAGAGGATCCAACGCACTGAGAATTCGCAGTGGGAAGTGGCATGTGGAGAGTCCGAAGGGGGGGTGTTGTGATGCCTAGCAACTGGGGTATATAGGGGCTGGCTTTGGGCCAGTTTGGACAGCACCAAAGCCAGCGCCGCGAACCGCCCCAAACGGACGACAACCAGAGCTGTGAGAGAGCGCTGTGGAGCTGCAGCCAAGGCGCAATCCGTCGTTGGTGTTGACTGGCGGGGCTGGACGGTGTGGCGTTTTGGGAATCGCTGATCGAAGTGAAGAGTTGGTGTTGGGAGTGAAGTATAGTGACGGGTGAAGTTGGATCTGTGAGAAAGGGAAGTGGACAAAGTGAAAGCGTTCTGTGGTGTTGTTGAGCGTTGTACAGACGTTGTGTAAGTCCTGTAGGTTGGCTGCCTGCCTGATTGAGCATCGTGACTTTGAGTTCCAGACAGAATTGTTGAGCCGTTGTTCTGACCGACTCCTGGCTGGAAAAAGGTGGCCGGAATCAAATTGCATGTCCCTTGAGCTATCTCTGAAGTTGACTTTGGAAGTCAGCTGTGTTCCCCTAGCACAGCAAAGTCAGGAAACGGTAAATCCAAGGCAAGTGTCCTGTTGCCCCTCGACCGCTGACCAGGAAAGCAGGAAGCAGCGGAAAAGAAGGCGTGAGGTGGCAGAAACTCCAGAGAAAATTGAAGGAATCCCTTTCCTGAAGAGAGCGGCGGTTGAACGTGTTTGGGTGGAGCAAAGGAATCTCCCACCACATATCCTTTCAGTGCCAGAAGTCCGTCACCTCCCCTTGGAAGTACAATCCTTCCTCGCTGCTCATTGGGCAGATTGTGAGCGCTCTTTTCAGAAAGCCGGAGACTTCATACGACAGGAACTGACAACGACTCTGCGGGAAAACAGAGTGGTGCGGGCGGCTGCTTCAGGAAAAGTGGACAAAGAGGGGGATTCTGATCGGTTTGGCAATAGAGAGGTGGAGGAGAATTCCAGCTCAGGGGAAGAGATCCCTTCAGATTGTGAAGTACAGGGGAGTTGTACGGAGGGTATTTCGATTGGGGAGTGAATGTCTGGGGGTTGTCTTTGCTATAGTGACGATATCGTGGTGTGGACAAGTGGAGCAAGGGTAGTGGTGATTGTCCAACTGTGTTTGATTGAGGGAACAGTCGTTGTGATTGTTGTGGTGAAAAACCTCTTGTAAAACTCTTTTGTCTCAAGGGGGTGGTGTCTCAAGGGGACCGTGACCTACTGGCCATATCATGGCGGTCACAAACAGGGTCCTTCAACAGCTGCAACAGTGCATTTTCTCTCCCGCGTCGCGCGGACAACAGGGCCACCACGCACGGGTGTGCTCTTGGCAGGCGTATTCGGGGCGGTGGATGGACCGGGTACGCCGTGTTGTCGTCGTCCGAGGTTACACATGGAATGGGTTCGATTTAAGTCGTCTGAAAAGGTGATTAATGAGGCGATCGGCGCAGTTTCTCTCGCGCGGTGCGAACAACAGGACCTGCGCACACCGGTGTACGCCCAGCAGGTGTATTCGGTACCGGGTACGTCGTATTGTCATCGTGATCGACACCTGTCACCTTCGCATTGTTCGCCAGCGGCATTCGTGGTCGCGTCATGTCAGCCACGAACCTGACTCATGTCGTGCGCCTACAGTCATTTGTCAGGAGTGCGCGTGTGGCAGAGCCCGCCGGCGGCTTTCCACAGACGTTCGGGAACCGCCAGCCCCGTTGCTGCGGGCGCCCAGGCGGCAGGCAGCTGCACCCCCTTCCCACGCCTCACCACTGCCCTTTCGACCCGTCTGTGCGCTTCAGTCGCCCTCCAACTGCGCTCTGGACCAAAAGCGGGCGGATCGCCAGTCGAGGGACTGCTTACACAATCGCCCTGGCTGGGTCCCTCGGGACCGATCGGCGAATATGCTCAGCCCGTCGGCTTCGGTCGCCGTCGTCGTGCTGGTGGACGTCGCAGCGGCGACCGGGTGAGCCGCGCGGGCGGGGAGGGAGCGTTGGGGGCCCTGAAGCCCTTTTGCCGCCGACGATTGCAAACGGACTGCCTTGGGCAATCCTTTGGGCAAATTCCCGCGAACTGAGATCGAATCTGGGCGATTGGCGCCTCCTTACGACCAGGCGTTTTGGGGATCTTGGCCTTGCTCGCGGCGCTGCGTGCCTCTTGGGTGACTCTAAAGGGATTGGGTGCAATTCCGTTCGACCAGAAGCATTGTTGGGTGGATGTGAGGGCCGAGGATTGGGTGGTTGGCGTCGACTCGCGTCGTACAAAGGCGGGCTTCCGCGTCCGCGATGAGTGGCGCTGGGACGGCGACAAGGAACACGCCGCTGGCTGCAAGCGCCTGGCCGCGGTTTTGACGGGATTGGCCTTGTCTGGCCGGTGTTGACGGGATTGGACGTGTCTGGCCATGCGCAGGTGCGCCCTGTGGCCCCTGTGGCCTGGAGGCCCGGGCCTGGCCGAGAAGCTGTCGGCGCTGGGATGGGGGGGAGTGGCCTGCAACTCGAACGCGGTGGGTGGGTCATCTGCGAGCAAGCTTCTTGAGAGGAGCATCGAGGCCGCGAATCGTCCCAGCGGGGCTCGGGTGGCATTCGTGGCCGTCAACAAGGGCAACCGTACAAATTTTCAGTCCAGATCGTCAGCACAACAACCTCGAGCTCCAGAAAACCCTGTCTTTGCTCTGCCCCTTTGCATGGGAGCATCCCTTGCACCCGCCAAACTGGGCGTGCATGCACGGCATGCCTCTGGGATATTCCTTTCCGTCCATCATTTGGTTCAATCAGTCGAGACACAATAAGTAAAAGGAGGTCAGGATGCAGCCAGCTCCCCAGGAACCCCCTTTTTGTTTGACATCAAATCCTCCGGCCATTGTATGTTGTACAGGAAAAGGCTCCGCTGATTGGGAGCAGGGCTTCTTCCTTTTGACATCCAACCTGTCTGTAAGCCTAGTGCTAGAACAGGGAGACACCGACGAATGCAAGGACTTTGCAGATGCACCCGTTCATTCATGATTGGGTCCAGTGTTTGTGCCCAACAGGACCTTTGGGGCCTGGCAGCTCTTCGGTGCTCACTGGTGACGGCCATATGGGCGTTTGGAGCCTCCCCATGTGCTCCAGGGGGAACTTTTGCCACCAAAGTGGCTGGGGCGATCCTCACATATGCCTTTGAGGTGGCGTTGCTGGCCAAGATGGTAATCGTGGCTTCCTGTGGAGCAGAGCACACCTGGCCGGACACAAGCAGCGGGAAGGCTGGACTTATCATGATCTTTATCCCTGCAACATTAGGCTTAGTGTTGGTGCACCTCCAGAGCCACTACCTGGGAAAAGCCACAGCTAGTCCAACCCACAAGGCTCGGGCATCCAAGGGGGAAAAGAAACTGGAGGAAGGGTTGGCTGAGCCCCTCCTTGGCAAGAAGGAAAATGAGGTAGAGATCCTTGGGCTGAAAGCTTGGGATTCCTGTTGTGCAAACATTCCAGGATACGGAAAGTTTTGTTGCAGTGTTGGCGTATTTGAGCAGGTTGCCAGCAACTGGGTAGTTTGTGGCCTGCTTGGGTGGTTGTGGGCTCTGGGATAGTCTGTGAAAGTCATCTGCAAGCAGCAGAGCTGCCACAGCGTGTACTTCTCTCCAGGCTGCGCATCTGCTCTGGCACAATCACAAGCAGCCAGCACGTTTGATTGGAGCAGAGGGCTAGAGAATGCTGTGGGAGGAGGATCGCGACACAGACATTCCAAATCTGCTTTTGAACATGGGCACTTGTGTTTGGCACTTCTTGTCTCAGGACTACACTACCAAGCAGCTGGCGATGGAGCTGGTGAGGCTGACTGCCCCTGACTCCCTCATCGTCCTATTTGGAACTGTAGCAGGCCTTGGAGCAGCAGTGATGAATGCCTACATCCCAAAATTTGTGGGGAAGGGCATCGACTTTGCTGCCATAGAAGCCAACCACTCGCAGTTCATCATGGCCATGGCACACCTGATAATCGTGGTGGTTGCAAATGCGGTGCTCGTCACATGCAGAGGGGGACTCTTTTCAGTGGTGGGGGTCAAGTTGGCACTACGCGTCAGGGAGCGTCTGTTTGCCTCGCTGTTGCGGCAGGAGATATCGTTCTTTGACGAGACAGGCACAGGCACGCTCAGCAGTCGGCTGCAGGCAGACACAACAGCGCTCAGCAGCTCAGTGGGGATATACATCAATGTCCTTGCAAGGTCGCTCATGCAGCTGGGGGTGGTCACATTTTTCATGGCCAGGGCCAGCTGGCGCCTGACGGTGGTCACACTGGTAGTTGTGCCTGCAGGGAAATTTGTCACCCAGGTGAGGGGCAGCCCTGCCATGTTGTTGTGTCATAGGAGGACATTGGGGTCTACACCAATGAAGCTGACAAGGAATCAGCCTGCCAAGAGCGTGGCTTCTTGTTGTGCTGTCATTCATGACAGTCAGGGGTGAAGATGTGCAGGGGCAGGTCTTACTCAAAACTGTTAGCCTCAAAGTCCTCCCTCCCACTGATACTATTGCTCATTGAGAAGGTGCTGGTTGGAATGCCCACATCTTCCTGTGTAAGGACAATCGATGGGGTGGAAGCCCTACATTGCTGGGCTGCAGAGACTGATTGGTTGCTTAGGTCCAGTCGTTGCAAAATGCGTGCTGGGCACCTCCAAAGGGTGGTGGCTGCCTATAACAGTCTCAGTTCGGAGGCAGGAACACTCTGGCAGCAACTGCGGGTTGTCCTTGAACAACACCTTCTCTTCCTTTGTTTGGAGATCTTGCTTGATTTGACAACTGCCTGTCCAGAGCAATGAAATGAATTGTGGCACTTGTCATGCCGCATTGCTTTGGAAGTGATTGGGGAAGAGCTTGCTGGAGTATTTGCTGACATGAACAAGGGGGATTCCATTGAGGGAACTGTGCTTGTCTTGCAGATGCTCTTGCTTTTTTCTGCCATGTGGCAAAGCAGTCCTACCAAAACTTGTGGGTTGTACTGATATTTTGTGAGGATGGCCTTGCAGGTGTATGAGCGCCACTACTCAGCACTCCAGAAACACGTATTGACGTGTCTGGCAAAGGTCAATGGTACAGCAGAAGAGGTGCTCTCAGGAATCGCAACAGTGAGTGTTTCTTCACAGTACTGCATTGCATTATTATCCTGCAGCAGGATCTTGGATGTTTCTCATTTTCCATCTGATGTGTTGCTGTCTTTGCAAAGATATCCCGCCACTCATCACAGGACAACCCACAGTCATGTGCTATGGCGAAGAGCCAGGAGTCTATATTTTGGCCATTTGGCTATGTTTTCTGCACAGAGATTGTAGAACTTTCCTGTTGCTCTTTTTTTCACAACCCTTGTCAACTGCATTTCCTGGCGCATCCCACAGCCAGCCAACGTGCATAGGTGTTAGTGAAAGGGAAGTTGATGGGCCCAGTTCCCTCACATCATTGCCAAATTTTGTGTTCATGCACTGCTGTTCAAACTCACCCCGATTCTTCCCTCGTGCAGTCCACCACCACACCTCCATGGACCGCAGAGTGCATCAGCAAAACCACATGCAGCAAACTAACAACACCAATCCCTGCAGTGTTGGTGTTCATAAAAAACATAACCTGTACTTGGCTGGTTGTCAGAGCTGTGACATATTCGTTGAGTATTGCAGGGCGCCCACTCCCTCCTGGATTGACTTTAATCTGTAGACCATTTGGGTGCACTCAGCTCAAACCGGGCCCCATCACTCCATTCCTAATGCTTCTCAGCAGGCTTCACCACTTGTGCATACAACTCAGGTCGTTGTTCCCAGTGTCTCCACATTATCTCTCCCATTACTTCTCCTTGGCTCACACTCTTAACTTATTCTGGTTTGTTGTGCGCTCCCCCTTGCCAGGTGCGTGCCCATGCTGCCGAGCGCTCCACCCTGGCAGCCTACCGCAGCGGCCTGATGGACGTTTTCAAACTGCAGGCCAAGCAGTGTGCAATGTACTCTGGCTACGCAGGCTTCTGTGTTCTGGTGCCAAACTTCGCCCTTGTATGGGTGCTATTCTTGGGCGGCCACCTCGTGTTGGTTGGGGACATCACCGCTGGCATCCTGGTGTCCTTCATCCTGTATGAGCAGAGCTTCGCAGCATGCTGCCAGACCTTGGGCAACTGCGTGACGATGTTTTCCGATGGCATAGGGTCCACGGCCAAGGTTGCAGAGCTTATGAACAGGGAGCCAAGGGTGAGGATGTGCTTGAGCCTACAGCTCTGCTTGAGAATAAGAACTTCCAACTGCTGTTGACTGGCAGTCAGCAGTTGTTGTGCACAAACCCAGTTCTGCATCAGTGTGTAGAAACTGCCAAGGAGTGTTTGCTGATTGTGACAACTGGCAGCCAGTGCCTCCTGTTGATAGGTCAATGCGCGCTGGTGAGCAAGGAAACCTGGTTGTGGGTGTGTGCAAGCACAGGAGTCAATGTCTGTCCTTGTGTTGCTGATTGCTGGATTGGTAAGGTGTGCTGCCCATATTTGCCTGTTGCAGTGCTGTCGGCTCTGTTGAACTTATGCTTCAAAATGAATGCACTTTAGCAAGGATGGAGAGACATGCCATAGAAACTGTCGGTTATCAATAACCCAGAACCAATACCGATTGTCAATAGTTAGCAGTATATCAGTGCTTCGATGCCATATTCCTGCAACATTTCTGCACAGTTCCAACAATTACCTATTGTATCTATTGCATCTATTGCTGCAATGCCACAAATGTCTGTGATCATCCCAGCTACTATGTTGGGCATCCCGTGTTCCTATGTGTCTGTGTTCCTGTCACGATACTATTATAGTAGTGAATCTAATGGCCAAGGCCAACCGAACCCAGCAGGAATTGGCACTCACACAGCTGAGGCTTGTTTCTCATCATGTAGCTGCCATCTGTCTGGAGGAATTGCAGTGCTGTCCACCACAAAATGAGATCCTTGCGGGCTCATTTTGGTACACTTACGCTGGGGCCATCTTCCGCACAAGCCGCATTGCACTTGATGACAGAAGCTCACCAGCTGTTTTCACGTCGCAGCTGGTAGTTAAATTCGCTGCTGCCTGTCTTGATAGTGAATGGACGGCACTGTTGAAGCTTGCTTGGCAGGCATCCCAGTTGCCTTGTGTGCATGTGTCAAAAACAGGACTGTCGTCCCCACCCTACCCCTGCTGCACTGTTCATTGCCGCAGCACATCAAGCCCTGAAGTCCAAAGGCACGAACTATGTTGACAAACATCTCCAGCAGATCTGTCAGTGGGCTGCTGTTGGGGCCATTATTTCAGGAGCATGAGCCCCCTGGTCCTTTCCCAGGAAGCCAGTGGCAGTGCTTGGAAGCGGTAACTGAGTCTGCTCTCTCTCTCTGGCCTGCACAGATCGTTGCCACCAACGGAGTCATGCCTCGGCACTTTGAGGGCAGAGTGGAGCTGAAGGGCGTCCAATTTACATATCCAACTCGCCCAGACGCCCTGGTCTTGGATGACCTATCCTTTAAAGTGAACCCAGGTGCGTCCACAACGCGCTCTTCTTTTGGTCTCCTTTCATCTGCCTCCCTCTGGTCTTTCTTGCTTCCCTTCGATCTGCTTGCTCATCGAGCAAGGAAGCTGCATCCCCTGCAAGGTGGAAGGGCTTATGTTTGTCACAGTTGTTCTGGCAATGCAGTCGAAGAATTCTCCCTGGATCTGCTTGTCTTTGTCTTTGCTTTTTTCGATGCGATGTGCGTGCCAGTGCATGCACGCTTTTTCTTCTCTTCTTCATTTGTGCAATGTGATGCAATTTGTGGCAGCCTTACTGTCCTCATGGGAAGTGGAAGTCCAGGTCGCTCTGCCTGGGACACCAGAAAGGTGTGGTCATCCAACAACGCTGAGCAGCTGCAGTAGCTTGGTATGTATCTAAAGGAAAATGAATAAATTGATGAATAGTACAAAATCGACAAAACAAATAAGTCTGCGGGAGCATACTTACATAATATGATTATTGCGATCCCTGTGGTTTTAACTGCAATCACCACCATCACAAGTTTAGCAAACCATCGCCCCAGAATGGGCACCAGGGCTTAACCCGTTCATGACCCGCACTCTTCAGGCGAAGTGGTGGCCCTTGTGGGACTGAGCGGAGGCGGCAAGTCTACCGTCATGAAGCTGCTGCAGCGCTTCTACATCCCGCAGGCTGGTGAGGTGCTGTTCGACGGGCGCGACGTGGGCGACTATGACGAGCGGTGGCTGAAGCGGCGGGTGGCCATGGTGGGCCAGGAGCCCACGCTGTTCGATCGGACCATCAGGCAGAACGTCATACTGGGCATGGAGCCAGAGGATGGGGTGGAGCAGATCCCCACACAGGTGGGGCAATTCCCCAGGCACGTGTTGTGTCGCTTGGGCACTGTTGAGAAGCTGATCTCAAAGATTCCCAACATTGTGTTAGTTGAGCATGCGCACTTTTGAGTGGGGAATTGCAAAGCCATGTATGCAGCGTTTGATTCATTCGCAACTAAATTGCTGATTGGTTCATGTGGTGGCGGCGGTGACCACATTCGCCCATAAGAACAAAGCACGCCTTTGGGCTTCCCACAACCAATGCCAAGAGAGCCAATGCATTGCTAATCACTAAAAGTTGTTAGGTCTGATGCAAATGCATGCAGTCCTAGCAACCCATTGTCCTGCGCTGCTTCATGTGATGAAAGCACCGCACATTAGTTTTACCATTGAGGTGCTTTGGGAGCAAACATGATGGGAATGATGAAGGATTTCGCTGCGAACAACCGTGCTTCGTAGTTTTCTTAACTTTATTCACAGACCTCGTCGCTGTCTTCTTGATGTGAACAGGGCCAGTTTTTTGTCAATGCCATGCAGAGCCCTGTCGACAGGCGTGGTCTCTGCAGCGTAAACATGGTGTAGTTGCGAGTATTTATGCACAAAAATTTTCTCTGCTATTTGACGCGCCAGAGCGCGTTGTTACGGCTAGAACTGATTGAGTGTTACTAATAACTGAATGCATGAAAAGATGACGAAGCACTAGGAATTGCAATAAAGATGTTGATGAACAGGCTGAGTATAAAGGACGGAATGTCTCTTGTCCTTTTGCCTCGGCTGTAAACCGCTGCCATGGACTCGAGCGTACAATCCCCATTCAGGGATCGCCACCCCTCGACCCTGCCTGCCTTCATCAGCGTGAAGGTACTCAAATGCAGGCCCTGTGTACTTAATGACGACACATGCGGATACAGGGACTCCTGGGAATGGATAGACGCGCTGGGCATAAAAAGGCCTTTTTGTTTGGCGATGTTGTTGCTTTTGCGATGGGCAAGGTGGACGCTGTGGTGTCGGTGCTCGAGGAAGCAGAGGATCGATCATTGCTTGCGACTTCATCTTGTAATCTGAGTGTCTCAACGTGCCGTAAAATACATAAATGTGGCCGCAAAATTAGAAGTTTCTATGTTTACGCGTTTTTATTCATAAGAAGCGTAAACCTAAACGTAAAAATGGTGCGGCAAATATAAAGACCAAGCCTGCCTGTTGATAGCTACATGCGTAACGTGATGTATGTTCAGCATTTGTTCGATTCGAGCAACACCACGATCATCAAATGTATAAGCAGTGCAGGCAGTGCAACAGCTGTTCAGTGTTCAAGCAGTGCAGGCAGTGCAATTTTGTTTAATGCTTGGGCAAGATGAGCAAATTGGTCCAACATTATCCCGGTGCAGGAGGAGATAGAGGAGGCATGCCGAATGGCCAACGCCCACGACTTCATCACGGCGATGCCGTGCGGCTACGACACGCTGTGCGGAGAGAAGGGCATCATGCTGTCAGGGGGCCAGAAGCAGCGAATAGCAATCGCCCGCGCCCTCATCCGAAAACCCTCCGTGCTCATACTGGATGAGGCCACGTCGGCGCTGGACGCCCAGAGCGAGGTGCGGCGGTCATTGGCATAGAACTGGCCGCTCTGTGGAGATCGGAGCTGTGCTGAAGCGACACTTAATTTGAGCATTGTGGGTTAAAATGCTGAGAGGAGGAGATTCGTCCTGTTTAAGCTGTATTGATCAGGCCGTTTTTTTTTCGTTTGTTTAAGCTAGATTGTTGTCCTTACGTTTTGTTTTATTCCCTTGCGCCGTGTGGACGTAGCGTTTGTAGTGAAATCCATTCAGTTGCGTCCATATTGCCAATGAGTGAATGCATCTTGAACGCAATGAGCCAAGCTGATCTGAGATTCACAGCTCCTGTCGTGCTGCCACATCTGGGTAGAGTCCCTGCAGCAGAACTTGCAATTGTCGAGCGGCCGGCTGGACCCACACACAGTTGCCTTCTTCATATGTTATTGAGTGTGTGGCGCGATGCAGCAGCACCTTGAATTTGACATCATGGTCGTTGGTACCAAATGTAAGAATATTCAGCCCAGCCAACGCTCAGAAGCTGCAAGGGCAGGCTTTGTTGCTTTTCGACAAGTTAGATCAAATTTGACTAGACACTCATTTGAAGCATTGGCCGCACCTGTCGTGCTGTGAAACGCAACCAAAAACACCTTCAAGGCAGGGAAGACGAGCATGGTTCATTGCGAATTTGTTCTGAAGGTGTTCCTGGGCACAGCCTCAGTCCACCTGCTTTATTCGTGATTGGTGTGCGTGGCGACAGCGATGGCCACCGTTCAGAGCAGTGCTCAATGCTGGCAATCATTTCTACACTACAATGTTTCTGACCGTGTGCAAAGGCTGTCAGTCTCCTGAGAATCGCTTGTTGGTGCTGTCGACTGCGTGTGAACGGGAGTGAGTCGGGTAATCACTAATGGCAAGACTAAGTCCATTGCCAATCTTCAATTGCGCTAATGATGCGATCAGTACAATGGCGCCGTCAGAATATCAGCTGTGAATCTTGCGCCGCTGTCACCACCGCAACGACTGTGATGTTTTGCCCGCGTGTGCAGGCGCTTGTGCAGGAGGCGCTCGACCGCTGCCTGCAGAACCGCACCGTCTTCGTAATTGCCCATCGTCTGAGCACGATCCAGTGCGCGGATCGAATCTTGGTCGTGAATGACGGGCGGCTGATTGAGACCGGCACACACACCGAACTCCTGGAGAGACAGGGTGGGTTGGCTCTCACTGCTGCCACTGGCAACACCATTGCCACAATGCACAGAAATACTTCTGCAATCAATCCACGTGGGCAAAAAGCCACAGAACGCGGGACCGAACTGTCTGCACTTGCGGATGACTTGCTTGACTCATCTGTCAGCGGGCGGTTGCTCCGCTGCTGGCGTCACGCGTGACATGTTTCTTTGTGCGGCTGCAGGGATATATGCATCGCTTGTGCGGAGGCAAATGCAGGGCCCGCTGGATCTGCCCGCACCAAACGGGCCTCCAGGTGAATGACCGCCGCCAGGGACGGCAGGTGGTACACCCCACGCACAATACGCACGACCTGGTGAACTAGATGCGCTTAATGCAATCAAAGCAAGTTGAATTGGTTGAGTACTTGAAACCGGGACGAATCTTGCTTGGTTGCATTCATAGAGTTTGTGGAATTGGCTTTGTACTGGATGCGAATGAGAAAAATGATGGGGAACGAACCAGTGCTCGTGGTTTTGGAGTGCTGCCCCTTGGACTGGTGGTGTCCATTCTCCGCTACGGAGCCTTTTGCGAAAGGTGTAAATACGATGAAAAATGCATTGCAGAAATATGGATGAAATAAACTGAGGAATAAATTCGAAAATTACTTGAGCGAAACGTGAAATCAAACCCGCAAACAATGCAATAGATATTGATGACCTGTAAGGTACCGAAATGATGACATCACTCTGAAACGTGTGGGCATTCCGGACGAGCGTTTGGGGTGCCGCAAGCAATAAACACTATTTTCTGAAAATTAAGCAGAAGCAAATAAGTTATAAGAGTTTGATAATTTCCACCATTTGACGATGGAAAAGGCAGCGAATGCGACAACGATGATGATTTGATGAAAGGTTAATGGTGATGAACCAAGTGCTGAACGCCCTATCGGGCGAGGCTGGCACAACCAAGTACTGCAGAGTGACTAGGTTTTATACCCGCATCGCCCGAGGGTGTGTTGATGTTGTGAATCAGCTTGCATGGACTCCAAAAACCGGCAAGTGTTGTTTTTTTACTTGAAAAGAGTTGCTAGGCTTTCTTTCTTTTTCTTTTATCATTTGTCGGTGGATCTCGCATAGTTCCGAAAAAAATGCAACACATGTCCTGAATATGTCCAATATGGCCCCATGTGATAGAGTGAAGGCACATATCCCATTACCAATTCGTTGTTTGAGCACAAGAGAGAGGCGGCTCCTGGACCTGAAAGGGATGTTTGAGTGCGGGGCCGGGTGTACACGCCCCGTACAAAAGGCCCCCGAGAAGTTTGCTGTATGTAGGTCAGCCCACGTAGCATGAGTTGTTCGACTCCTGTAGTGAATTGACCAATCACATCCTTTCCCACACGATGAACCGATGCAATGAAATGGTGGCAATTGGTGGTGCTGTAAGTAGATATAATGGGGTCAAATAGAGGTGACAATCATCAGTCATGAAGCTGTGTAGATGCATGCGGTGCATGCTACCTTATTAGTAGCATAGTGGTCAGCACACGTACCTAACATTTGCAGCTCACTGATGAATGTATTTGACGTGTGCTACAATGTGTGACCTTACATACATTGATTTGAAGAATTGAAAGAGTCTGAGACATTAGCATCCAGACTGGTTGGATGGGATTCGTAGTAGAGAATTAGAGGGGCCAGGTCTGACTGCCTAAGTCGAAGAGCTCTTCCCATTCTCTAGTACGAATCACAGCAGCCTGGTGTGGCAGTTACTGGCCGCGACCATGTCTCAGCGAAAATCTCGGCGCGCAATCGGTCAGCGGGTCGGAAGCTCATGAGAAGCCGATCCAGTCTGATTGGAAGTTGAGCAGCAAGTGATTTGTGCGCGACAGGGCCGTCTGAGTAGACTTGCATTGAAACAAGTCGCTGCGTGGATAATCGTCGTTGCACCATTTCGGCACGCCCCGGGCCGACGATCGTCCCTTGGGGCCGACAAAACGACCAACTTGTGCAGCTACTGCAGCGTGGTTTTGTGCGAAGACGATTGACGGCATCTCCTTCAACAAGGGGCGTTGGCCGCCTTCCTGCTTTGACAGCGCCGCACAGGGCATTGCGCCGCTGTTCGAAATTGTGGTGCCGTGCGAAATGTACGACAAGGCAGATGTGCCTTACATTATTGAAGTCGGGGAGAAGAAAGAGAGGGGTGTGTGTCCCGCTCGGCAGATAATTTTTGAATTTCTTGATTGTGAAATAGTGCAGCACATTATAGAGTCCACCCGCCACCCCTGTCCTGACGGAAGGGATATGGGGCTGCGCCACCTTGCAAACAAGTGCAAGGCATTGTAATGCCGAAGAGATTGGACACACGGAAAGTGAATTTTCAGTTTCAAAGAGCTGTAGTTGGGTTGGCTTCTTCGTTCTTTGATCAAGAGCTGTGTCTTGAGATTGGGGTTGGCTGTCGGGCCGACAGTGTGAGCACGAAGATCTTGGCGACTAAAGAGCGAGATTGTGTCTATTCTTGAAGACTCCACAAGCACTGTTTGCTTTTTCTTGCTCCCAAACCTTATTTCTGGCGTATACACATATGGTTGATATTCTCTGTTCACGCTGGATAACGATGACATTTGGTCGTTGCCATGAGTTGGTAGTCCTGTGCAATGGTCTGTCGCAAAGTACCACAGCAGCATTCAATCCAGTAGATTGCAGCAAGCCTGGAAGTGCCAGATTGTTTTGCCGGCAGTGCTGACTTCTTAAGGGTGGAGGAACCTTTGTTGTATAATGCGCAAGGGACTCCTCTGCCCTGCAAGATAGGCTGTCCTTGGTCATTGTTCTTGTGCTATCCAAAGCTCATTTGTGTATTTGACAACACAAAGGTAGCGATATGGGACAACATGTCCTCCTCACCATGTCTGAGAGATGATTTGAAGCTGGAAATGACATTAACTATCTTGTTAATAGATTTCCACCCAGGACGACGTTGGGTGGGCTGTGTTGCGATTCGAATCAGCCGCAGTCGTATTCAAACGGGTTTCTGGCCCTCTCTAGTACCTTGGGTCAGCCAAAGTACGTAGATTCCAAGGTGCCGTCAGTTTGGCGCTTTTGGACTTGGCGGGCTTTGGCGGGGCTGAGCGGGGACGGCTATTTAGGCTTCCCCCTCGGTCCCCCTCCTATCTTGTTTCGCTTCGCGCCACTGGTTGGCACAACCCGAAGGCACCGAGTGCCTTGCCCTCCCCGGCCGTTTTTTGGCCGAGTTCTTTCTATGAACCGGACTCCTGTAGAGCAGTGGCTTCAGGAACAAGCCGTCCGGTTCAACGACGGTCCGCCTACGGCTTCTCTCGACGCCGTCTGGCTCCCGGACCCCCGGCTCCTGCAGCGGTCAGTCACCAACCTAGCGGTCCGACCTCCAGAGGTCCGTTTTCCCGAGTGGTTCAACGTGCGGCGGACTTCCGAAGGCGCGCAACTCGCGCAGGCGCTAGGGACCAACTCCGGCTACTTCCAGGAAGACCAAAACTGGGCGCCCTACATCGCGTGGCTCTTCGACCTCACGGCCGCCCTGATCGACTTCGCGGCACACCAAGAATTCCCGCCCATCTTCGGGACGCCCTTTTGCCGTACCTCCACGCCCTCGTGACGATTACGAAAAGATTGCAGAGCTTAATCTGTCTACAGCAAGTGCACGGGGAGCACAAGGGAACGTCCCTCGATGGGTTGTGGCAAGCCCTCCAGACCAACGTTCGGCTGGGTGCGGTGCATCGGCGGTTTTGTGACCCGTTGATCGGCGAGCCGTTGGAGCACATTCGGAAGGAAGTCCTCAATCAGCAGTTGAAGTTGGCGACCAAGTCGGCCGCCGCCAAGAACCAAGCCAATCTCGATCGCGCCCCTCCGGCCTCCGGTCCTACGGGCGCCTCCACCTCCAGCGCCCGTCACTTCAAGGGCAAGAGTTCCAAGGCGTCGGCGGGCCCCAGTGCCCCGCCCCCGCCCTCCAAACCGGCCGCCTAGAGCCTCCTCCCTATGCTCATCTTCGGGGCCGGCTGACCGCCTGGCGATGCATCGGAGCGCCTTCGCACGTGCTGCAATGGATCCACACGGGGGCCCCCCTTCAATTTTGCCCGCTGGGCCCTCCGGCCCCCTTCGATCAAGGCGAGTACCCCTTGAAGACTCCGGCGGAGTGGCAGGCTTGGCGGGAGCTGCGGGACAAATACCTCGCGACGGGGGCGATCGTTCGGACTAGCCCCTCTTCCGACGCCCGGATTTCGCGCGCTTTCTTGGTGGCCAAGCCGGTGGAGAATGGACAGACCAAGTACCGATTGGTCATCGATCTTCGGCGCATCAATTGCCACCTCAAGAAGGTTGGTCTCGTTATGAGAGACTTCGAGATTTTGGCTTTCTTCCTAAGAAGCATGATTTTTTTGTGGGTTTCGACATCGAAAACGCTTACCATCATATACGCATGCGAGCTGATCAAGAACATTTCTTGCAATTTCGAATGGGCGGGGAAACCTTTGCTTGCCGGGCCCTTCCCTTTGGCTTGGCTCTCTCCCCATTTTATTTCACGCAACTCATGTTGGTAGTGGTCCGTTTCTTAAGAACCCCCAGCTCTTGTCCGAAGGCTGCTCATTGTTTTCGATTTGGTCGCTTAGCGGGGGAGGATTCTATTCTGCAGTACTACCTAAAGTACTCGCGGGAACTACCCGCGTTAATTTTGGCATACTTGGACGATTTCATTGCTTCCATGTCGAACCCAGCTCGGCTGGCCCAATGGTCCAGTTTGGTCCGCCGCCTTTTTGCGGCACTCGGTTTGGCCTTCAAGGACTCCAAATGTCAGTGGGACCCGGTGCAACGTAAAAAGCACCTCGGGATAATGATCGACACCACTCGGTGCCAATTTCGGGTTCCTCCGGACAAGGTGGCGGCCATTTCTAGGCGGGCCAAGGAGATCCGTACAATGGGGGTAATTGTTGCCCGGGATTTGGCCCGGTTCTATGGATCAGCCATTTCCTTATACTTGGCCTTTCCATTGGCTCGTTTTTTCCTGGCGGACTTGTATTCCCTTTTGCGCGGAAAGCGCTTTTGGCGGGATCGGCTTCGTTTGACCAATGCCGCTCGTTTGGAATTAGTGGCATGGGCTCAGATCGGTCGGTTGGCGGGCAGGTCTTTGAATCCCGCTTCCCTGGAGATGGCGGGTACTCTCGCAATGGATGCGAGCCTGATCGGTTGGGGGGCCACCTTTATGCCCCCCGGGGGTGAGCAGCCCCTCCTTGCCCGCGGATTCTTTGATCAGGAGTTTATGCACATCAATGTCCGTGAAATGCAGACCGTGTACTTGGCCCTGTTTTCTTTCTTTCCTCGCCGGTGCCCCAGGATAGCTTCCCGCCGCCTTCGTTTGCTAGTGGACAACCAAGTGGTTCTACATTATATCCACTCGATGACTACCAAGTCTACCGGTCTCTTGAGGCCCCTTTGTTAGTTGCAAGCTATTTGTGCGACGCGGAAGCTGCTATTGGAACCCGAGTACATTCGGTCGGCCGACAATATCCTCCCGGATAGGCTTTCGTGTATACGGACTTCCGAGGATTACTGGCTGAATCCACGCATATTCCAGGAGGTCGTTAGCCACTTCGAGGCCTGTTCAGTGGACCGCTTTGCGTCCGCTTGGAATGCCCTCTGCGAGGCCTACAACAGTCAACATTGGGATGTGGGTACATCCAGCGTTGACGCCTTCGCACAGAACTCGATAGGGACGCGCAGTCGGTGCAATCCCCCGTGGAGCCTCCTTGCAAAGCTTGTCGCCTTCCTCGACTCGAGGCCGCGGGCAGAGGCAGTGGTGCTCGCGCCGGACTAGCCGAGCGCGGTTTGGTTTCCCCGACTCCGGGCAATGGCGTAGGCCGAGCTCTTCATTCCTCGCCAGCCCAACCTCTTTCTCCCTGGGGATCCGAGCCAACCGACCTCCCTTCCTCCGCCGCGCTGGAATTTGCGCGCCTTCTATGTCGCCCCGCGGACGCGCAGGGAGGCGGCGACGACCAACCCATTGACAACGGTCTGAGTGAGCCCGAGGCTCCGGCTTCCCTGGCCGGTGAACCTCCATCGGACCCGTTCCCCTTGGACCCGGTCCCTGAGGACCATCCTCTTCATGGCACCGAGATCGATGGTTTGCTGGCCGACGACCGCAGCTGGATGGCTCAACAGTTTCTTGCCTCCTACACGGAGGCCACTCGGAAGACCATGCACACCAAGTTCCTTCGCTTTCAATCATTCTGCGAGGTGAATGCTTTGAAGCCGCTGCCCACTTGCCGCGCCACCATCTACCACTATATTCGGTTCCTCCGGGAGGAGGGCAAGGTGGGCGTCTGTTCTTTGCCGCAGTATCTTGCGGCCATTTCCATGGTGCACCACATGTCTGGGCACCTTGGTTTTTCTGCCTTTGACCTGGTCACCCGTGTCCTCACCCGCGCCTAGCACCGCGATGTGCCCGCCCCCGTGCAACATCACCGCCCTGTGCCCATCGAGGTGATGATTCACATCCTCGACGTGGGATTGACCACGGAGGACGGGGCCTTCCTTTGGGCAGCGTGCACGGCCTACATCGACTACATCTTTTTCAACCGGGCGCAATCGGGCCACTTCGTTCTGGCGGAGGACATTCGGGTGGATGACGGGGTCATTTTATTTCGTAAGCGCAAGTCCAAGCTGCACAAGGATGCAGCCCCTTGCTTGCGCTTTCGGTCCTGGCCGACCCAAGGCGGCCCGGAGGTCGTGGACCTCATTCTTCGGTGGATGGCTTTCCGCGACCGCGCCTGGGCCCAGACGGACCAGGCGCCTCGCCATTTCTACCGCCTTCTGGGTGAGGCATCCCCCAGCTCCAAGACGGTGGCCGCTTGGTTTTCGGACTTGCTGGCCCGGCACCCG